CTTTCTAGCATTTTTATTTCCATGACTATTAGTTTGGACAAAATAAAAAAGTGTTCATTTGAAACCCTGAAACCTCTAATATTTTTTAAAAATAATTTGACAACAGATTATTTTGTGAAATAGAGTGATTTAAATCAAATTTACAATTAGTAAATTTCTCACATTGAAGAGCTTTTTTTCTATGACGGATCCAAATTTGAACAACTAATTAAAAATGTACTACTAAGAGCATTGATTCACGTATTAATGCTCCTAGCATAGATTCAGACTTTAGGATCTTAAATACGTATCTATATAAATTAAATTTACTAATTGTAAATTTTGATTTAAATCACTCTATTTAACAAAATAATCTGTTGTCAAATTATTTTTAAAAAATATTAGAGGTTCAAATGAACACTTTTTATTTTATCCAAACTAATAGTCATGGAAATAAAAATGCTAGAAAATTAATTTTCGTGTTCCATTACATGTGTGAGCCACTGTACGTAAATGAATACTCGATTGTAATGGATTATGCAAGTGGTGGAGATATATTAATCCAACTATGATTGGGAAGAAAAATTAAAATATTTAAATAATATTCTCTCAGAACTGAATACAATTCACAATAAGGAACTTGTGACTTTCACCCTGGAAATATATTATTACATGTTAATATTGCCGACTTTGGACTTACTGGACCAGCGGAGTACTTTCTTATATGAGTCCAGAGGTGCTAAATGGAAAGCCATACACTCAAGCTGCAGATATTTATGATTACGTACGAGGTTGTAACAGGTGAACGAATTCATGAGACACCTCATATTGGACATTTATAATGGAGTACGACCTACGATATCAAATAATGTGCAAATTTACTATTGAAAAATGTTGGGATCCTATTCCAGAAAACAGACCAACTGCTGGGGAACTTTTCGACTTTATCTACTCGATATTCTCTATCGACATCAACGATGGGCAGTGGACACCAAATATTTTGCATTTTCACTATTACAACGCTTTAGAGTGTTCTAATGTTAAAACAGATGAAGAAATTAAGGAATGTCTTATACTAGAAACAGATGAAGAAATTAATGAGTGCCTTATACTAGAAAAGCAGAGACTAAAATCAAAAAAGCTTTTCTACAAATACAAACAAAAAACAACAGAGCCATCCACATGCAGTTTACACGAAGGTAAAGTTACATTTCCTCAGAAAATATTATACACATTTGTATGCTACTGAATTTGACATAGATATTAATGCTGAGTCAACAAGCGTCAGCTTGTATGTTCCAAACGAAGAAACTGAAGGTAAAACGACTATTGATATTCTTTATTTATTAAACGAAAATGAAAGTTAAAAATTAGAATTAAAGAACAATAATATTCTATTTACCGTTAACGCCGACATAATTTTTTATTTATTTTGTTTTGTTATCATTTCAAAGTTTTAAATAAAACACTGATTTTATAAAGTGAACTCAAAGATGAATTCTAAAATAGTGAATGCGTTTTTTATCAAGTACGGGATTACTACAATAAGTGACTCGTTGTCATTTGAATATCATAAACTGTCTGTCTATTAAAAGAATGCGAGAAAATCAGTAGAATACATGTCTTGCAAGAGGAGGTTTTGGAACAATTATAAAGCATTACATACATGACAAAAGGTGGGATCTGGAGAAAATATAGGTGCAAAGTTGCGTTCGTTATCGTTATAGAATCACATTAAAGGGATAAAAAAATAATTTGTTAGCATAAAAAAAAACATTAGCGTTTAGAACAATGATAGAAAAGCAAATGATAATTCACAACCCGAAAACGTCAACAAATACAACTCCTAGTCATATGCTACATTATCATTACATTATTTAATTATGATACATTTGATGTGACTAGATGATTTACATCATACATGTACGTATATAATACGTAAATACATGTAAACGATCGATACATGTCAATATTGATCGATATGTATTAAACGTTAAACTTTGTGTGCTTTATGAGAGGAGTTTATTGTTATCGTTCTGTACCTGCTCATTTATTACATGTACCTTCAGCTACTGCTCACTGCTAATTTAAATACATGTACCATTCGAGTATTTTTTTGAGCCCTATACTTAATGATTCGGGCTAAAGTACTTTTCAAAGTCCTAAATATTTCGGACTTTGAATTATCATATAAGTCCTAAAGTGTCCTAAATGTCCTAAATCCTAATTTGGAAATTGTTTTGCAGATCATTTGGTGCTAAATACTTTAGCCCGAATCACTACCTATACTATGACAATAACGATAATGATAATGAGAATTTTTACACACGGACAGTTACGCCAATGTTTATCAATACCTATCGCTATATATACCTCGCTTCTTCTCTAAACAAAATACCGTAAATTTTCACTATGAGTGTATCGAAATTAAATGATATCAGATTCAAGTTATTGTATGTATATTTCTATTTCTATTTGCAAACTATTTATCATAAACTTTGTGAATAATATGGTAAAATATATTTTTAATATAGATTCGGAAATGTGGAGGGTTCCCAAGCGAATTATTTTTTTAATGTTAATGGATGGTCTTTATTTGATTATCTTAGTTGGGCAGTTGGAAGTGGTGCCTGGGATTTTCCATGGCTAAAGGAACAGGCGCATAGAGACTACTTCAGTTATCTTAAAATCTTAGAAAAAATAGCATACTACAGTCTAGCATCAATGCATGCACAGGAGCGATTTCAGGTCATGCATTTTAATATTATTTTAAAAAAGATTAAATCAAAATATATCTATAGTCACAAAAGTTGTGCTTCGTTTGCATCTTTTTTTTCTTTTGTGGTTCGTTCATATTTCTCTTGTGGTTCGTCCATGTTCTTTTTCGTCCATATTTTTTTCTTTTCTCTTGCAATCTGCACACGTTTTATTTCTCATGATTTATCTATATATTTAATATATTAAAATATTATGAAATATTTTAATTTCAAAATATTATAATTATTTTTATATATAGTATTAATTATTAATTATTTAATTATTAATTGTTTAATTATTAATTATTTAATTATTCATTATTATAATACAGATAGAAAAATCGTCAACCGATGTAATAACTTTCTGGAAACAAGCGGAAAAATTAAATTATTATGGAAAAAAACAATTATTATCACTTGAAGAACAAATCAAGTTATACGAAGAGCATTTTTCAATTAAAGAGGATGAATTGAGTGACTTGCAAGAAAAATTACAGAATCAGGATGAACCACTACAATAAATAGGAACTCTGCTTTTGGTTAGAAGAAAATCGTAACTACTTTATACTTTAAAAATTTTATCTTTTACTTGATAGTGGATTGGGGGGGGGGGGTTTGGACGGGATTATGAATTTGTACGATCAAAGTAAAGATTGTATCTATCGTATTATTACATTTCGACTTCTAGCAAAAAACTATTCAAGACTTGCACATTTCAGATAGCAAGTTATATGCGGGTATTGTCTTGTGGGTATTCGCTATTTTTATTATCAAGAAAAATAATAAATTAACGAGCCCGTACTTCACCACTGCGACTAAATCTTTTCTTTAAACAATGAATGCACATTATAAAGTCTCGTTTCACATAAAGCGTCTAGTTTATTCCTTTTCCTCTTTTTTAATAGTAATGGGTGTTTTCACTGGAGGTTGAACAAACAACATTTTCTTTGACGAGTCATATAGTCGTTTCCGGCAAGAGCCCTTGACGAAGTTTCTTTCACTATCATTATTTTCTGTAATGAAAACTCCCAATGTCTTTTTTAATACAGGTTTTGTGTAAGCGCCTGTTTTAGTGTGACTACCCTTCCAGATAATGAATATGAGACTATCAGAATCGATGAATCTCTTACATCCTGGAGTTTTGCTTTAAATCTAATTGAAGATTTGGGTGGTTTCTACTGCAAGTGTCAAAAATATAGGAGTTAGGTTCGTTCGCTTAAACAAGATTGCTGTACCTATTTTATTAACTAAATCGTAGCTTATCATAAAGAAAATGCCATCGACATCATCTGCAAGAAGAAACCCAAAAATAATCAAATCATTGTAAGTCCGATTATGTCTAATTTTATCCGTCAACATGATATCAAGGCTATTATCTATGCCTTATAAGTGAACCGACTAAATTAAAAAAAAATAATTATGGGTTACTTCGCGTTCTTGCCATCACAGACAATGCGGTTACTTTGAACTTGATAACATTAGTACGCAAATAGTAAACGATATATTTTTAATTCACATTGGAATATCTTTCATTTTCCATTCTCACAAAAATATCCTTTATTATTAAAAAAGGGAATTAAATAAAAACAAATAAGTAAGAAATTGAACTAGCAAAAAGTTTTCGATTAAATTAAATCACTACTATAAATATAACATATTATTAATAATACATATAACCGCCCATAATTAATAAAATTATAAACTTATAAAATATAACGATAATTATTGTTCGACAATTTAATGCTGTCCTAACAATTCAACAGCGGTACCTTTTACTTTACCAACAGTATCTGTTGATTTAGTGTTTGTTACTCTCTTGGTAAGATCATTTCCTTTACTACCGGATCCTGAATTAACAGCAATTCCGAGTGAACTTGTAGCTCCATCGACAGTAGTTTCTACTTCCTTCAATGAGCGATGCTCAACCGATAATTTTACGCCAGCAGCTTTAACGCTTACAGCAGTTCCTTCATCACCAGTAATACCTTTAGCACCTGCTGTTACTTTATCACCAGTCTCTGCTACTTTATTACCAGTATCTGTTGCTTTATTATTACCAGTATTATCTGTTATTTGATTGGCAGTACCTGTTACTTGATCGACAGGAACTCCACTGGCAACATCATTTGCGTTACTACCGGGTGCGCTAGCGGAAGCACCAATTGCGGCGCCATTACCGACTGGAGCGGCGTGGGAGATTGAAGTGAATGCCAAGAGGAGCAAAGCAGAAGCAAAAGTGATCTTCATTGTTACTATTTATATGTGTCTTGTATAATGATAATATGATGAAAAGGGAATTTTAATATTGCTGTTCGGTAATAGTTTAAAGAGAGTGAATGTATAAAGTTTGTTCGGAAAGAAGCACAATATGATATAAAGTCATTAGTGATTTGTTAGGTACAATATGATATAAGATTACTGATACATAAGATTTGAAGTGTATAAAGAAAATATGAGAAATTGACGGAAGATTTTTATTAAAAGAGATTTTTATTTTCTGTTACAACATATTAAGTTAAAACTCAGATAGCATTTCTATTTATACATTTTTTGAAAATACAAAGTGAACTAAATAGACAAAAGTGAAATAATTAATTTATATAAAAATAAAATAATATATATAAAAGTAAAATAATAAAAAGTAAAATAATTAAAAAGTGAAATAATATATATAAAAGTAAAAAATCAAAAAAATAAAATAACTAAAAAGTAAAATAATATATATATAAAAGTAAAAAATCAAAAAAGTAAAATAATTAAAAAGTGAAATAATAAAAACATAAAATAATGAAAAAGTAAAATAACTAAAAGTAAAATAATATCAGGGGATTTTACTATTATGTAAATATTTTTAGGATTTTCATATTTTTAAAATTTGTGATATTTATGTTATTACTATAATAATATATTATTAAATTATGATTATTAATAAATTTAAAAAGAGATAACAGCGTATTCATAACATGATCAGCTAGAATGAAACTTGAAATTTTTAATAATAATATTTAATTAAAGAATTTTATGTAATAAATATGTAATTATATTATAAGATCATAATTTAATAATAATAAAATATAATTTTATTATTAGACAAATTTATTATTAATTTATTACATGTTTTAATTGTTATTATTATTTTTGAGATTCTAAAAACTATAAAATCTATCTAAATTACTAGCTAAGCTAACATTACTTTTATAATATTTGATAATTTTATAAATATTACTTTTACTATGATATTATTGCTATTTTTGTTAAAATCTAATTGCTTATTTTACTAGTATCATATTGCTATTTTTGTTATGAACAAATTGCTAGTTTAGCTATAATTATATTATTTATTTAACTATTTACAAATAATATTTCATATAGTTAATATTCAATAAAATATGAATATAAAATTAATTAATAAAATATAATAAAATATTATTCAATTAAATTTATAATATAAATTAACCAATAAAATAAGAACTAAATATTCATATTATTATAATATTCATATTATAATAATATTTATATTATAATAATATTTATATCATAATAATATTCATATTATAATAATATTTATTTTGATTTTTTTCAATAATTATTTTATTATTAGATAATTTTATTATTAAAATTTGTTTTTTTTGAAAAATATATAAATAACTGTGCTATCTAAGCTTTAACTTGACATATTATAAATAAAAAATAAAATTTTCTCTTAACAAAAATTTTCTTTTAAATAATATTTATTTTTTCTATTTTTAATTATATATATTAAAACTTGCATACAAGTAGTTTTAGCTCATATTATATTATATTAAACAAAATATTATTATTGAATTATTAGCTTTAAATCATATTGTGTTAAACAAAATACTATTATTATATTATTAATTTTAAATTATATTATACTAAACAAAATACTATTATTAAATTTTTGTACTTTGTATTATATTATACTAAATAAATATTATTATTAATTTTATTGATTTTAATTAAGTATTTTTTTGACTTTTATTATTTTGAATTTTTATTTTTGAATTTAATATTTTAATATTTTTCATTCAAGAGAAGTGAAAGAATCTTTGTTATTATTATTATTAATTATATTATCTTAGCTCTAGAAAGCTTGACACAAGTATAAAAAATTAGTATTATAAATTCTCTTTATTATTTATTTTATACTTTCTTTTTTTCTTTTAATCTTTACTCTTTCACAATTTCTTTTGTTTTATTATATCTTTGAATTATTATAATTTTCATAAAAATTGATATATCTCTCATTTCTTTTAATATTTTATTTATTGTTTAATCCTTTTTCAAACTTGTAACAGTATTTAGTTTTTCTGATCTAATTAAAGATAAGCTTTCATATATTATAAAAAAATTTTTCTTTTTATGTGTAATAATCTAGTAGTTTATTATTTAAACTAATAAGCAAAGCTAGTAAGTCAACTCTTTCTATACCAAACTGAATGGTTTTAATAATAAAAAATTTTCAAAAGTTCGTTATAGAGCAAATTACATGTACTGTTTTTTATAACGAACTTATAATAAATTTTTACAAAAAAAGTTCGTTATAGAGTGTATTCGTTATAAAAAGATTCGTTATATCCAGAGTTAACTGTACAAGATGCTAATAAATGTTTTGATCTACTGCGCTATATCACGTGATATATCATGTGATATTATTTCGGCTCAAAATATTCTTATATAACAAATATATAATTTATTTTATTGTACACATATGACAAAGCTCCAAAAAGTATCCCATGTGATCACTTGTGTAGCAAGACCGGCTAATTTTTGATCGCGTTTCGTTTCGGAATGCCGATCACTTTTGCCAAGAAAAATTATCGATCATAGCGTAATAAATTCAAAGGTCATGGAACTTCTGCATGATGTAATCGCACGACCTTGATAAACAATATATTTTCTTTGTAGAACATCTAATCAAATTTATAAAAAAAAATATGGAGTTCAAGTTTATTTGTGGCCACCAATGCCAAGATAAGGAACTGCATACGTTAGAATGTTGCCAAATTAAAAAGGAGAATGCAAGTTTTTCGTTACACTGTTTTTAATGAATACTTTCCCTAAGTCCTAAGTTGAACTCTGTTATAAGACGCTAAAGAACAGAATAAGAAGATGGCGGATGCTATATACACTATCGATATTCTCTGGGTAGGGTATGAGGCGTTAGCTGAAGCTACGAACTTAAACACATTCACATTTTATATCTTTTCGTAGTCATACGGACAAAACGCAAACATTGAAGACATGTCTATCGAGACATTTGCCAAGTGGATGGCAGAATACGCCACAACCCATGGTTTAAACAAGCAATACATAACTAACGGCAATTTACTACGTTGGTACAAAACTATACTTTGGAAATGGCAAAAAGAAGAAACAGCGAGGTACATTCGAGATAAAATAAACGAAGCAAATAAAATTACAAACTCAATGAGCGTCGCTAAGGAAGTTTTGGTAAGACAGCTTGTTCATTTATTAATTTATCCTTTTCATAACCTATAATTATATCTTTAATGAATATGTTGGGCCAGTGTCTCATTCTCTTGCCACCAATGGGACTCGAGGTTTACCCTTCATCTTTGCTAGTAGACGTACCTTTTATCCACACTTTTCGTCCATATTTTTTTTATCTGTACCTTATCCTTTTTGCCCATTTCATCTTGTTTATTTTCTGGCACTTGGCAAAAACCTTGGGACTTTAGGTTAACTCGGTGGTATAATATGTTTGGGCCAGTTTCTCATTGTCTCGCCACCAATGGGTTTCAAGGTTTACCCTTCATATCTATATTATTGGGCCATTGCTCTTTGGTTGATGCACTTTTTCCTTTATCGTTCTTTGACTCTTGTGGCAAATATGAGGCCAAGTTATCCATAGTTTCGAATAATGCAAATTCTTTTGAGCAATCACCTTCTCACTCTATTTATTTCAGGGAATTCTATCATACTGCTATGGATCTTCAAACTTCCAAGATGAAGCACCTGAAATTTTAAACCTTGCAGGTTTTAAAGATGCAAAGGTCAACAACAATCCTCTAATCGACCTTATACTCCAGCATGACCTAAACTGTGTTCCAGATAACGATCCAATACGGTCCGGCCACCTTTCTGCGACCTTTCCTCACCTGTTGTTATACAATAAAGATCCTGGAATTTTTGATACTATTATAAACCGGGACGTCCGTCAATTTGGAAAACTAGCCCATCGCTCGTCAACAAAGATGGCAGAATGGTTTTTCGAATTCTACAAACAAGCAAACTTTACCTCTCTCGACTATTTCGAGAGGCCAGAGTTTTTAACAGATAAGGAGGGACACTTGGTAGCGGAAATCACGTCTAACATGTTCGTGTTCTCATTGCCATTAGCTATTATAAAGTAGTAATTATATTATATTACTTGTTTCATAGTCAATTATCCGTAAACCATTATCAAAAAACCGGGATGAATTCTCGATCAGTAAATTCCGAAGCCACTTGGGTAAATTTCGTGGAAACACTGTTAAAAGGGATTATTAATCGCATCAAAAATTTAGTATACGAAAAGTAAGTTATTATATGTTTTCAAATGTTTTTGGTTTGATCTTTTTTGCTGTAAATATCCTCCTACCACTCTTCCCAAAAAATTATTTACACAATTTAAGAATGGCATGATAGAAAACTAAGAAAAGTACAACAATTCGAAATTGGAGACAAAGTTCTGGTTTACAATATAAAGACATGTTGAATATGAAAACAAGTTGATCAACAAAAATTAAGATGTATTACAAAAAACATTAATGTTAATGATGATCAAATTAATTTGCCAAGCATCTCAAGCACAACCGTGGATTATCTTGACCATCCAAAAGGGAATGGAGAAATTTGCGGAATCAAGCCAGATGGGACCATATATTTTGTCATGTCTGAAATACATTTTCCAATTGGCTTTCTTGAAGGCCAGAAGCCGTACCTACCCAACGCAACAAAGAAATCACAGATCGATGCAGAAAAGCTCCAAAAGGAAATTAAGTTGGCGTCCGATTCTCTTTTGAGAGATATACAAGACAAATATTCAGCCCGGATTTCAAAAGAAATCGCTAAAAGAATATTTGAAATTCCATTTATCACATCTCAGCTAACTGGTGAATAACCCACAAATCTAAGCAGTATTTTGTCATTATTGAACCATTTACTCACTGAATATTCTTTGCTAGGTACCGAAGCAATAATCTCAGTCTCGGATCGAACACTTCATCCAATATTGACAACGTGGGAATTATGCCGGTTCCGTATCGATTTTCACAAGTTGGAAAGGATAAATAATGTTCGGAAAATTTTTTCAGGGATATTCGTATTGCAGGAATTGCTTGAACGAGTTGGAATGAACTTTTCACCTTTTTGGCTGATGCTCCTCAGCTACTACCAAAAAATCGCTTCAATCTATCAACAGGAATTATCCCGCTCTATCATTATGTTTTGGGCGAGTATGACACTCTTAACTATGATTACCAGTCATCACAAAATAAATAAGGTTACAGTCCAGTGGGGATTTACGTGTAATTAAAATCAACACGTTCAAGCATTCATGGTTTAATAGACGCAAATGATAATTCACCAATATCTTCATCCTTCCTCAACCCGAAAACACAATTCCTAGTCATATGCTACAATAATTACATACATGTACAGTCGGCATCAAAAGTAACGCCCGATTTGTTAATGTAACCAAATAGACAAATATATCCGTTTTGTTT